AAATTTTAATTCATTAATAGTTTGTTCCAAATTTTTAATTTTGTTTGCTCGTGAAGAATTTAATTTTTGAATTTTCTGAATAATTTTCTAATGAATATTGAAAAATATTAACTTTACTTTTAAGTCATATTCAAGATTTAAAGTCTTATTTTTCTCTTCAATAAATTTTATTTCAAGATTGTTAAAATCTGTTTGAAGTTTAATTAAATTATTGCTTTGATTAACAAACTTTAAAAATAATTTTTTAAAATATAAAATACAGGGTGTTTCAACCAGTGATGCGGGAGTTCCAGTTCCGGAACTGGAATCGATAAAAGTCTAGAACTGGTTTGGAACTGGAACCGCGGAATCGGTTCTTTTCAGTTGTATGTGTGGTCGACCGGATAGTGTGTTGGGTTCGGAGTTTAGAACTTATTTGGGTATTAGGTTCGAATCTGAACGTAAGGAAAGATTAAGTAATTGCTTTTCTGCCAAAAATAAATTATTATAAATTATTTATAATAAAAAAGTTTGTCATATTTTGAAAATAAAAATTATTTTTTGTGCCTGCGGCACAAATAGGAAGATTTTTGGCTTAAGGATCTTCCAAAATTTTCAAAATTTTCGCCTGCGGCGAAAATTAGAGGGAATTCTCATATAATCCCTTCTGATTCACTCCATTAATATCCCTTTTAATCCTCTGATATCACTCGATATCTCCCATATCTACCCAAATCTCCCAATGAAATATAATTCTATAACCCCCGAGTATTTATCTATGCTACACAGAGGAGCTAAAAAATTTTGAAACTGGAACCGCCAAAATTTTGGAACTTCCACAGGTTATAACACAAAAACTCATACAATTAAGTGTTTTTCATAAAAAACCAATCTATTTTTAATTATTTTTTATTTACCGCTTTAATCTCTTTCTCCAAAGAATTTATTTTCACATCTTTTTGTATTAAAGAAATATCATTTTCAGCTTTTAATTTTTGAATATTTTCTTCAATTAATTGTTGAAAATTTTGTTTAATTTCTTCAATTTTATTTTCATGCTTAGAATTGAGTTCATCAATTACCTAAAAATATGTTTTATTTAATGAGCTCATGCAAAAAAAAAGATCAGTTAATTATTTCACCGACTACTTTTACCAACGTAGTGTTTTTACGGCAAAAAATTACACTGACATAAAATTAAATTACCTTTTTATTTTCTTCCTCCAAAAAATTAATCTTCTTTTCATTTTCAGATTTTAATTTTTTATTATTCTCTTCAATTAATTTTAGAAAATTTTGTTTTAAATTTTTAATGTCTTTTTCGTGTTGGGAACTGAGTTTTTGGATTCCCTGAAAATATATTTGAATTTAGTGAGACTTTTTGGTGTAAATATAAAAGGTGTAGTATGTAGTTTGTAGTAGCAGTAGTTTCACTCGAAAAAACTTACTAATAGCAAATACCAGTAAAATAATTGGAATTTGGAATTTCGATGAGTTTCGAGCAAACAAGAAATGCAAAAATGATAAGAAACTTGCCTTTTCAAGGTCAAAATCACGCTTTTCCAGAGATAGATTTTTCTTTGTCATTCTATTCTAGAATATATTCAAATTTATTTTAGAATTTATTCAAATTTAGCCAGATCTGACTTGTACGACACTTTCGTGCAAAAAAAACTGAACAGTAAAGAGTAGGACCCAATGCTTGGACACTCGTACCGAAATTCGTACGTCAATTTCTGCACTTAATTAGTCTTGCAAAAGTAGTTCTTGCTCGTGTCTTATTCATCGAGTATCAGCAAGTACGAATGACACTGCACTGATCGGAATCATGTGTTATCTTTCGGGTAAAGAGAATATCTATTTTTAATGTGGAAGTGTTTTACAAGTAAAGTGTCCTACAACGTGATCGGCTCTACGAATTTTTAACCTCTAATTTTTCCACACGTCGTTTTAAACTTTCATTCATATTTTGTGATGAACAAAAAGAACTACAAGTAGTTGACAAACCATCAATACTTGATGTTTCCAAAATATTACTAAAACTTTTTTCTGTAAGATTTTCATCTTCTTCTTCCAAAATGTCTTTTAAATCTTTTAAGTACTCTTCTTCTACAGGTGTCTCATCTCCAATTTTATTTGAATCATTTTCAACATTATCAGAATTGATAGTGGAGAATGACCATTCTTCTATTTGTTTTGGTGTTTTCATTGTTTATTTTTTTAAATTATCTCCTGAAAATTAATTGGGAATTTTAGATTGGTTTTGATCAATATATTGAAATTTTTTCAACAAATTTGGACAAAAATGCAAAGTTTAATTTTCCAAATTTATATTTCAAATCAGAAAAAATATTATTTAATTAGGTTTTTCGATTCTAACACAAAAATTAAGGAGAATAATAATCAGAATATTCTCTTATGTCAGAAAATTTACTTAGCAAGAGAAAAGAAAAATTCAAAATAAGGCTCTAAATGAGACAAATTATGAAAAATACAAATATTTATATGAGTGATATGAAGGGCGGGTCAAGTTGAATATTTACACAAATTTATAGCTTAAAAGAAAAGGTTAAGCTTTTCATTAAAAAATATTTTTGCTGCTCTTATTTATGACCTTTCCTCCTTTACTTTTGCCTGAACTAAATATATTTAAAATATATTTATATTTTTATTTACGTTTTTTTACCTAAAGCATATATTTAAAAATAAAGTTTTATTAAACAAAGGCAATTTGACCTATATATTAATGATATAAGTTTGGAACTTTAAATTTATAGTAAAACTATAGACAAATGTCATGATGAGAAATAATATGTATGTCACAAAGGGAGTAGAAAAAAATATTTAAAAAACTTTTTCTCCGTTTTTTGAGGTTTTTCCTGCTGATACATACCGTATTTCTTCTAATAATCTATTTTTCAACCATCCTCTAGAGGGTCGGTTTATTAGAAGGGGTCGGTCTAATAGAGGGAGTCGGTTTATTATTCAATACTGTAATTAGAGATCGAACAAACGGCCAGATCAAATATTTAATCAAATAATTTGAAAATTATTCGATATTTGAAAAAATTTACTTTTACCGAAAGTCATCAAACAAATATTTGATCAACTTATTTGATACTATTTGAAAAAATTTGATCAAAAAGTCAAATATTTGATTAAATATCAATTTTTTAAATTTTGGAATAACATAAATCGGGGTAAATTAGAGTATATCGGGGATATTAGGCTATAAAGATGATATCGTAGATTAAGATGGATGTGGAGGATTCAAGGGTGATATAAGGGAATTCGAAGGATTAAGGGGGATATGAAAGGATTTGGAGAGATTAAGAGGGCTATGAAGGAATATAGGTATATGCAACTATTTCCCTCTCAATCCATCAAATACATCTATATACCTCTTAATCCCAAAATCCTTCCAAATCCGTCGATATCCATCCAAATTACCCAATATCCCTCTTAATCCCTCGATAAAAAATAACCCTGATATTCTATTAATAAAATAACCCTGATATCCTATTACAAATACCCTGATATCCTATTAATCATCTCAGATGAAATAATATCTCATTTGGTCACCAAATCATCTATATCACCTTTAATCCAGCAAAATTCCTCTACCTCTATCCCTTAATATAAGTTTAATCCCTAAAATTTCTTCTAAATTACTTGCCTTCAAAATCGGAGCAGACCCAGTTCCGGATCAGCAGTTGCGCAATCAGCAGTTGCGACAAACCCTGCTTTAACTTCTCTTTCTATTGAATATTTCTTTTTCACGCGGGAACTTATAGTTAGATTTAAAAAAAGGAAAGAATATGGCTATAAAACATAAAAGACACAACATTAACCTGGAAATAAGGGGGTCGGTTTAATAGAAGGGGTCGGTCTAATAGAGGGAGTCGGTTTATTATTCAACCTTCCTCTAGGGGGCGGTTTATTGGAAGGGGTCGGTCTAATAGAAGTAGTCGCACTATTAGAAGAAATACGGTATTTGAAAATTTTATTCAAAGCTGTTTAATTATTTGTATTTTTTTATTAATATTGTTTTATTTTTCTGTGTTTTCCTAATTCCTCTATTATATTCTGTTATTATTCTTGGAATTTTTAAATTTAATTTTTTAGAATCTAAAATGGTTTATTACAAATTTGGTCGCTGTACTGTTTGCCAATTTCGTTTACGTCCTGAAAATGTTTATACTTTAAAAAATTGTAATCACACATTCCATAGCGAATGTGTCACTCGTTGGATTAATGAAGGAGTGAGGAAATTACCGATTTCTATTTTTAAAATTTTTAGTCACAAGATTGTCCTCGTTGCCGAGTTCCTGCTACTTTAGCTGATATTAAACAACTTTTTGTTGAAGAAGCTGGCGACAGTTCTGACGATTCTGATGATGAGATCACTCAAGGTTCAAGTAATATGACACAAAATCCAAGTGTAAGTTAATGCTAAAATTAAAAGAAAAGTCACTGAATAGATAATTACTAAACTTTGGCATGTTCTCAAAACTGTTCTCATTCATTTTTGGCTATTAGAATTAAACTTCTATTAATTTGGAAAAATGTCAAAAGTGAGAAAGGAAAATCTTTGTCATTATATGAAAAGTCTCTTTAGTTTATAGACAATATAAGTGAAACATTTACAATTTTTTATAATCTTATAAGGTGGAATAAATGGTGTTAAGCTTTTTTAAATTAAGCATTTAATTAAAACCCATTATTCAAAAAATTAATTCACAGTCTTCAATGCAAAACAATGAAATCAATGTTATTAATGATTTGAAAACCCATAAAATTAATGTTCCAAAACTTGAGGTGAAAGTTTTATTAATAAACCAACAATTCGGACCTATTTTGGTAATTTTACAATACAATTGAATAGGGAAGTAATTATTTCATAATTCTAGTATTTTTTTCTCTTCCTTTTCCTTGGTAAAAAACTGTTTTTAATTAAATAAAAATGTTTAAAAAATTAAAATTTAATTTATATAAAGAAGACAAATGATTTATGTGACAAAATGAGTAGCGATTTAAAAATAAAATTCAACGATATGTCCTGTAAATATGTGGTTAGTTTATAATAAAATAAAATTTATAAATTATTTTTAAAGAATTTTGTTAAAATTAAAAATAAATGGAGTAATATTGACAATTATTGGAGATGTTGTGACAATGTGTGTATAAATACATTCGAACCTATTGGTAAATGTCTTAATGGAAATGGATATGTAAATTTAATTAGTGATGAAAATATTAAATATATTTATTACAAGGGTGGTTTACATAGTAAATTATATTTAATTTCTGAACTTTATTTTGATGTAAATATTTTTAGGACGTAATGAAAGCGGTTCTGTTACTGCAGAAAACTCATTTAAAAAACTTCAAAATTGTTCTAATTATTTATATTATTTTGAAGTTAAAAGTAAATTTGAAGGAATGTCAAATAAAGATGAGAAATCTATTTGTATTGGTCTTAGAAATAGTATTTCAGATAAAAGCATTTACTATTTTGCCATGCCTGCTAAAATTTCTAACGAAAATTATGAAAAATTTAAACTTCCAGCACTTTCTTGGAATAATAATGATATTTTTGGTTGTGGATTAGTTTATCCTCCAAATAATAAACTAAATGAAGAATTTCCTTATGTTTTCTTTACTCAAAATGGAAAACAAATTGGTAAATATTTAAAAATTATTCCAGCAAAAACTCTATTTTTAAGGTAAGGGTATATTATTAAAGGACAATTTCGCCTCATATAAACCATTTGTTGAACTGATATGTTGTTCTATTGAAGCAAATTTTGGAAGCGATTTGGAGTTAAAACCGTTTAAATATGACATCTCGAAACATTTAATTCTCAAAGAATTTTATTGAAAATTTTTTTTCTTATTTTTAATTACTTTTTATCAATTTAATTTATCTATTTTTAAATATATTTTTTCTGCTGAACTTAATAAAAGAATAACATTTATTGCCATCTTTTTTTAACCCTCGTTTTATAACAGAATTCCCTCTAATTTGATTACCTACTACGAATTTGGTCTCAATTTTATTATTTGGTTGTTTTTTCAAAATCTAATTCACACTATCCACTAGGTATCTACAGTCTAAAACGAGACATGCTAATTTCTAAGTATACTAAAGCGTTGATTGATTTAAATTTAAATTAAGGCTCCAATTAAATCAGGGTTACGATCGACAAAATGCCCATCAAAAGTACAAAAATCTCGATTTAAAAGTACATAGGGGCTAAATTTCCAAATTTAAAGTACACTCAAAATTAAATTAGAAAATATTTATTCATGCTCAAATCTTTCATATTTCTCTCATAAATAAATCTTTTCTAATAATTTTTTGTTTCAACTGAGCATTTTGTGCATTTCAATGCATGACATTTCAAAATTCGCTGACACAAGAAATAAAGCCCTGACAGTCTTAGCCTCAAACAAGCTACTTTCTTTCGTCCATTTTCAGCGCCGCAGGCGAAAATTTTGGGAAATTTCGGGGTACTTAAGACAGATTTCTTCCATTATTAGCGCTGCAGTCGAAAATTTTTAGAATTTTTAAAGGCTGCTGTATGCGGTAAAATTCAGTTTTTCAGCGCCGCAGGCGAAAATTTTTTGAAATTTGGACCCAAGAAGCCAGATTTCTTTTTTTTCAGCGCCGCAGGCGAAAATTTTGAGAATTTCGAAGGCCGTAGGCCAAAAAAATTCACTTTTTTGCCCAATCCCTTTTCCAATTTCATTTTCAATCCAAAATGTTGATTTTAAAGTACATACTTTCATTAAAGTACAAATTCGATTTCGTAAGTACGGAGGTCGATTTTAAAGTACTGTACTTTCAAATAAAGTACGAATCGTAACCCTGAATTAAATTCTTGTTCCCAGTTGAGCACAAAAAATTATTTTTTATAGGCAAAATTCCGAAATTTAATTAAAAAATGTTTAGATTATTCATCTAATTATTAACTACTAAATAATTATATTAAAATTTAATTAGAAAATTAAAAGCTGATTATTCATTTATTTGTAAATATTTAGCTATTTAATTATAAAAATCTTTTTTTTAATTTATAAACAGTCATATATTTGTTGATTGACCACACACAATGTTGATTCCCTTTTTACTAAATTTTTATATTTTAATTTTCTCTAATTTTTAATTTTTATTTTATATTGGTGCTAGAATAATTAATTTTCTATTTTTAAACAATTTTGGCAAATAAATTTTTAATTTTAAAAATTATTTAATTTATATATCCAGTTATAACTCCAATTGGATACAGAGTAACATAAACGATTATATAGTCACTCTTCGGCACTGATTCACAATCAAGAGTCTTATAAATTCTTTTCAGTATTTCTCATGATATAATGGCACTTCGCTTAATCCCACATCTCTGCCCAGTCTTTTTTTTGGGGTCATAAAGAGATTCAAAGTTAAATATTAAAAAATATTTTTTGGTAATATTAGGTCGGGTCATAATTAGTGTCGCTTTTTTTCGGTTAAATTTTTAGGGGTGTTATTTTATAAATATTCTTTTTTCTTATTAACTAACATAAAGATCAGAATCTACTCTTCATTTTAATACCAGGTTTAGGTATATATGAGTGATATTCATAAAGTTATGATTTTTTGAACTTCGCTACCTCGTAGTGAAATTCTCAAGCATTTGCACCATAAATTTTAAATTACCAAAAATGAAACACAAGAGACAAAAAATCATAAAATCTAGTAAATAGGATCGTTGTCTATCCTATACAGCAAAGAATAGGGTTCGGACTATACTAGGAAGGCCGTATACCTCTCTGAAGCAAACATGGTTGAAGGAGAAGGCTGTCATTAAACATAACGGTCGTGCTCGACCGGTCTAGATGAAACTTTTAATTACATACTTAAAAAATTAGTTAATTTATTCTATACAAGTAATGAATTTTAAATTTATAAACTATTTAATCGTTTATCTGTTGAATCATATTTTTGTTGATTTCCTTTTCTTAATTTTATAAATTAATTTACTTATGTGCATAATTTTCTATTACTACATAGTAGAGTTCGAACTTTTCATAATGCCGGGCCCGGAACCCGGTTTTTTTTCACAAAATCGCACCCGGACCGGTTTTTCCGGATAAAACCGGAAAAACCGGATTTTTTCAGACCCGGGCCCGGACCCGGTTTTTTCTAAATTTATCAAAACATGAAAAAATTATTTATTTAATCAAAAAATCCTTAACTCAACCAATCATTAACTCATCTTCACGGCCAAAAAGGGTCAACTCATTAAATCATAAATATGCATCCCAAGAGCTAGATTCGTGACAAAAGCATAACAAAAACAAGAGTGGACCCTACAAATCTTCGATATCCACCTTAATCCCTTAAACGATAGATCCACATTAATCCTCCGATATCCTATTAAAATCACACGTTTCCAAATTCACTTTGGAGTATACCACTTTAGTAATCGATCAAGAGGGATATTAAGCGGGTTAAAAGAGATATCTATCCATTGAGATATCTTCTATTTCCCTTCTATATCCCTTCTATCACCCAAATTCCACTAAATCTCTTTAATCTTTTCAAATTTGCCTGTCTCGAGATTCCCTAAAATTCAATTATGCAACACAACTTGTCTCTCTACAATTTACCCATTAATCCTTTTAAATTGGCATATATGTATCTCAGGGTGACCCTTTCCAAACCACTAAAATAGGGCGCAGCCACTCAAAAATGTGGCAAAAATAGGGCGAAAATGGCCAAAAATAGGGCATTATTTAAAACACTTCGAAAATGATTAAAATTTTAATAAAAAGCTTGATTCCGCATATTTTTCACTAGTGTGAACTAAATTAAGTAAATTTGGTTTAGAAATAATGAGATCATGCGCCTGGGTATAACTAAAATAAGAATTAATTTTAATAGAGACAAGTGACTTAAGTAATTTGACCTTCATTCTGTTTATTTCGTAAGTTTTCACATTCTTAACAACAGAAAAACTGGAAGCACTAAAAAGTTGAGTCAATTAGGGATATATTGGGATTAGGAGCCACTCAAGACCTTCTTTATCTTCTTTTTTAACGCCGCAGACCTTCAATTTCACAAAAAGTCTTTAAAGATTCTTCCTTTTTCAGCGCCGCAGGCGAAAATTTTGAGAATTCTGTAAAACCAAGAAGCCAGATTTCTTCATTTTTTGCGCCGCAGGCGAAAATTTTAGGAATTTTGGAAGGATAACGGTCAGATTTCTTCCATTTTCAGCCATTTCACTTACGAAATAAAAAAATAGTAAGAATTTTACAAAATGGTAAAAATAGGGCAAAAATATGGCAAATGAAAAAATAGGGAAAAACTAGGGCGAAAAGGTCAAAAATAGGGCAAATGCCCTATAAATAGGGTAAAAGGGTCACCCTGATGTATCTTAATCTTAATTTGGAGTAATTTTAGCCTTGATCCAATTTGGAGTACAACTTTAGCATATTCAAATTGGGTTTCAAAAATTTTTAATATTTTTAAATCACAAATATAAAGATTTACGACTATGGTAGGCTGGGCGGCGTAAGGCTGGTCTACTCTAGCAAAACACGTAAAAGCTTTCTTCGAATTTAGCGCCGCAGGCGAAAATTTTTTGAATTTTGGAGCTTAAAAAGCCAAATTTCTTCCATTTTCAGCGCCGCAGGCGAAAATTTTGGGAAATTTCTGAGTCCTTAAGACATATTTCTTCTTCGTCAAAAAGACTCCGGGCCCGGCAAAAAATTACCGGGCCCGGGACCCGGTTTTTTTACTCAGGATCGCACCCGGGCCGGTTTTTCCGGATAAAACCGGAAAAACCGGTTAGCCCGGAAAAACCGGATTTTCTCAAAAATACCCGGTTCCGGGCTACCGGGCCCGGAAAAAACCGGTCCGGGCCCGGCCCGGGTTCGAACTCTACTACATAGTATTTTTAGTTTTCATTTTAGTTTAGTTTTAGTAAAAAAATTTTTTATTAGTCAGCAGTTTCAAGCAATAAATAAATTCTTAGACTTAAATTTATTTACCTAATTTACAATATCCATATAATTGACACGGGTTATAACCTGGGCATAAAGTCGCTCGGATTATTTAGTTAACAAACCCTAGCAAAAGTCCTCAAAATTATTCTTAATGTAAATATAACGCCATATTAGTTATATAAACATATCTATCGGCTCCCTTGATTAGGGGTTATAACGAGAGTCAAATTCAGAAATTAAAAAAACATTGTTTAGATTTTATTGAAAATGGTTATAATGTACAGGCTTTATTAGCCATCTTAATGGTTCTTTGTGTTCGTATTTTTCTAACAAATTGTTCTATAAACGACAAAATGTTCGAGCCCATAAGTACTGTTATTTTGAAAGGCGATTTTTTGGATAAACAAGCTAAATAGAAATTAAGTTTTCTTTATTTAGAAAGTTAGGCATAAAAATTAAAAACGATAATTTAAATCGAAGTAAAGTTAATCAAAAAAATTTCAGTAAAATTCTTTAAGAATTATATGTTTTGAAATGTCGTATTTAAACGGTTTAGTCTCCAGATCATTTCCAAAGTTTGTTTTTACAGAACAATAATACACATAGACGCGTGGTCTATATGAGTTGAAGTTATCCTTTAATAATATACCCTTTCCTTTAAAAAATAATTTTTAAAATTATTTTTATTATTAAATATTTACCAATTTGTTTTCCATTTTGAGTAAAGAAAATGTAAGGAAATTCGTTGATTTTATTAGTTGGCGGGTAAACTAATCCACATCCATAAATATCATTATTATTGAAAATTGTCGGAATGTGAAATGCTTCATTTTTCTCGTTTTTAATATTAGCATCCTTCGCATGATAGAGAATATGTTTATTTGTACT